AACCATGTACAAGAAACTGATTCCAACAGTGTTGTTCATACCATGTCCACCCTCACCATAGATCCATCTGATCCACTTTTTATTCATGCCTCTGATCATCTGGGAATGATCCTTGTTCCAAAAATCTTAGATGGAACCAATAATGCTATGTGGAAACTATCAATGTTGGTGAGTCTTAGTGCTAAAAATAAACTCGGATTTATCAAAGGAACAATACCTACACCAAGTGGGAATGATTCCAAACATCAAGCGTGGCAACGTTGTAATGATATGGTCCTTTCTTGGATCTTCAATTCATTGAGTCAAGACCTTGCCAGTAGCATGCTCTATCTCGAGATGCCCTCTGGAATCTGGACAGATCTACAGGAACGCTTCACAGGGTGATTTCTCTCATTACTATCAACTTCAACGATCCATTGTTGACTTGAAACAAAATCAAGAATCAATTTTCACTTATTATACTAAAATGAAGACACTGTGGGATGAATTGAAGATTTGCAGTCCTTCTACTATTTGCACTCGGGGAGGACAGAAACATTTGAATGAAAAAGAAGCAAAAATCAGGTTAGGACAATTTCTTATGGGATTGAATGAGTCCTACTCTATCGTGAGAGGGCAAATTATGCTGATGCAGCTTCTACCTACTGTAAAGAAAGCCTATTCTCTTCTATGTGAAGAAAAGAAACAAAGGCGACTTCTGGAATATAAGAGAGTATACCAAATTCATGCTATGGATGTCAAATCTCAGCCAAATTTCAAACAGCAATACCATGATCACCAACAACAGGCCAAGTGGACACCTTCTACGTCAAAACCTCAAGGGCCTAGAAAGTCACAGTTGTGCACTTACTGTGATGGCACTACTCATACAGTTAACAAGTGATTTGATTGGATTTCCCGTTGGACATAAGCTTCATGGAAAAGATGTTCAACCTCCAAATCGAAACCATAAAGTTGCTACTAATCAAACAAGCAGCGAGCATGTTCATGCTACAACTAAAATACCTGATCAGTCACTTCAGTTCACCTTTAAGGAGTTCTCTCAAATCAAGGTCTTACTCCGAAATGGTAAAAATCCTACTTATGTCAACTATACAGGTATTTCATCACCTTTCTGTTCTTCATCTACTTTACATCCTTTCAAGTCTGATAACTGGATTATTGATAGTGGTGCTACACATCATATAACCTCCTCAATGACCAGCAACACTCCTATGTCTTCACAAGTTTCTTTACCTAATGGCTCTCAGTCAAAGATCACTGGTGTTGGCAGTGTTCATCTTCCTCATAATTTACATGTTAAAGATGTTCTTAGTGTCCCTTCTTTTCATGTTAATCTCCTCTCCGTTAGTCAACTCACATATGCTCTAAACTGTTCCATCCAATTTTTTCCTATTTTTTGTATTTTGCAGGACCTAGCTTCGAAGAGGATGATTGGCCTGGGGAAACAGTATAAGGGATTGTACTATCTTGTGCCACACTCGAAGTTGCCACCAGCTACACCAGTAACGTATCATGTCTCCACTCCATTAGCTATCACTTGGCATAAGCGACTGGGACATCCGTCTAAAGCTCCATCTCAATTTTTATGCAAACTAATTCCTTCTTTTGTTTTTGATTCTCAACATTCATGTGAAATTTGTCCTCTGGCAAAACAAACAAGATTATCATTTCCTTTGAGTTCCATTCAATCTAAGCACTCTTTTGATCATTTTCATTGTGATATTTGGGGCCCACATTGTGTTACAACTAATACGGGTGCACATTATTTTTTAACAATCGTTGATGATTACACTCGATTTACATGGATATTTTTTTTTTAGGAAATTCAAATCTTCCTTTACGCTTTTGGGGAGAAAGTCTACTTATTGCCACCTACCTTATTAATCGTCTTCCTACACCAGTATTACATCATAAAACTCCATATGAACTTCTATACAACAAACCTCCCAGTTACACACATTTGCAAGTCTTTGGATGCCTCTGTTATGCCACCAACCTTCAACCACTAACAAAATTTGCTCCTCGTGCTCGCCGATGTATTTTTGTTGGTTATCTTTACAGACAAAAAGGATATCATGTATATGATCTCACTACTCATAAATTTTTTCCTAGTCATGATGTAACATTTCATGAGAACGTATTTCCTTTTTCTACTTGCAATGCTGAAACACACGCTGAAAATCATTCACTATCTCACATACCTTCATGCACATCTAACGTAGATTCGTCGTTCCCTTTACCTTTACCAACATCTGATTTTCCTCACCTGTCATCTCCTTCTCCTACTCTTATCTCCTGATGTACAATTCAATTCCACATCACCATCACCATGTCACCTTATCTCTTCATCTCCATCACATCTCTCGCCTACTGCCCCTGTTCTTCGTCGAAGTGATAGTCTTAGACAACCTTCTGTACTGCTTCGTGACTTTCATTGTGGCCAAGCTATTACATCATCTTCTACAGCACCCCAAGGCATTTCATCTTCTTCATGGCCAGGTACTCGTTATCCCTTAACAGACTTTATTTCCTATGACTCATTCTTTTTCTCATAAATTTTTTGTCCATACCATTTCTAGTACTCTTGAACCTAACACATGAACAGGCAGTTCAAGATCCAAAATGGCGTGAGGTCATGAACCATGAGCTCACTGCTCTAGCCAATCAACATACTTGGTCTTTGGTTTCTCTTCCATACCATTTCAAATGGCACAGTGGAACGTTGCAAAACCAGTTTGGTAGCCAAGGGCTTTACTCAAAAAGAGGGCTTGGATTATCATGAGACTTTTGCCCCTGTAGCTAAATTAACTACTGTACAATGTCTTCTTGCTTTGGCTGCTATTCGTAATTGGCCTTTCTTTCAGTTGGATGTTCATAATGTCTTTCTTCATGGTGACTTAGATGAGGAGGTATATATGACCCCACCACCAGGCCTTTGTCGACAGGGGGAGAACTTGATATGTCGACTGCACAAGTCTTTCTACGGACTTAAACAAGCGCCCATAAATTGGTTTTCAAAGTTTTCAGAAGCAATCAAGAAGGCTGGTTTTACTCAATCTCATTATGATCACTCTTTGTTTGTTAAAAGGAATAATGGCTCTCTAACTTTGGTTCTCATATACGTTGATGATATGATCATCACGGGAAATGATGAAAAAGCTACTCAAGATCTCAAAGTTTTCCTTCACCAACAATTCCACATTAAAGACCTTGGTTATTTAAAGTATTTTCTCGGTTTGGAAGTGGCAAGATCCAGAGTTGGTATTGTTATATCACAACGAAAATATGCTCTAGAGATTCTAGATGATATTGGCTTTCTTGGAGTGCAACCTATTGATTTTCCTATGGAACAAAACCTGAAACTTACAAACAATCAAGGTGAACTCCTACTTAATCCATCTCATTACAGAAGATTGGTAGGTAGTTTATCTACCTTACAATCACCAGGCTAGATATTACATACTCTATGAATATTCTAAGTCAATTTATGCATGCTCCAAGAAAGCCTTATTGGGATACTGCTCTTCGCGTTGTGAGGTATCTAAAAGGAAGTCCAGGTCTCAAGTTGTTGTTCTCTTCCAACAATTCTCTAACATTGAAGGCTTACTGTGATGCCAATTGAGCAAACTGTCCCATGACGAGGAGATCAACTACAGGATATGGAGTGTTTCTTGGAAACTCTTTAATTTCTTGGAAGACAAAGAAGCAAAAGACAATATCTAGATCATCCTCGGAAGCAGAGTACAGGTCAATGACTACTACAACTTGTGAACTTACTTGACTAAGATTCTTGTTCAATGACTTGCAAGTTTCATTTGGACCTGTCAATTTATTCTGTGACAATCAAGTTGCCCTTCATATTACAGCAAATCCTGTGTATCATGAAAGCACTAAGCATATTGAACTTGATTGTCATGTCGTGAGAGTAAAGATCCAAGCAAGGTAGATTATTACAAAATTTGTTCCATCATCTCACCAGTTGACTGATATATTCACCAAAGCTTTGGGCTGAAATACTTTCAGGAACTTAATACGCTAGTTGTACATTCTTGACATCCATGCTTCAACTTGAGAGGGAGTGTTAAGATTTGGTTTAATTTAAACCATATATTTGAATATTCTAAATTATTGTGATATATTCTATTTTTACTATAATGTCATAGAATTAGGAGTAAGTTGATTTGTTTCCTTAATACACTCTTTAAACTTAGGAAGCTTTGTAAGTATATATTCTGATGTAACGTTGCTTAAGAAAATTCAGAAGAAATATATAAAGTTTATTCTCATTCTATCACCGTGTTTTCAGATAGAACATTGAGAAAGCTCTCATCTTCCTTGGAAATCCACTCCAAAAACTTCAAAGTTCAAAGTAAAACAGCAGTTAATCTTCATTTCAATATATTTTCCAACAACAAACATTAACAGACACGTAAATATGTAAATTTACCTACCATTCTGCGATTAATTTATATTAATTTTTCTGTAATTCTTATAATAAAAATAAAAAAATGGCGACAATATTCCCCCCTGTATTCTCTTCCAAACATCAGAAAAACTGAATCGTCCATCAATTTCTTTGGCTTAAATCTAGAAAGCTACTTTGGGAAGAATGATCACCAGATAGTCTAACAGCTCGTCCCTGTTAGGTACATATTCTTTCAAAATACATTATTTCAAAACTCATTTCCAACCATACATTCTTCAATAAAATAATATTTTTCATCACATCAATAATTTTTTCTTACTTTTTAATCACATATTTCCTATCATATCACTATTTAAAATATATTCTTTCCTAAATAATATCAATCGAACACACTCCTAATTTACCTACCACCCTCAATCTGTGTGTTACAACAAAACAAACCTTCTTCTTGCATCTGTTGAATACGGCAGTGTGGACAATAATTCCAGCGTTTCAATTCTGAACAAATAATTGTCCCTAAAGAATTTTGTTCCCGGGCAACATTACGATATACATGGATCAATGAGTGACGTTAAATATAGGCAAGTGAATTTCGGTCGAGGCTGGGCTGTGGGCGACCTCGTGTCGGTGTTGGTGGTCTTTGAATATTGAGCTCCTATGGGAAACCAGATTCTAACGTTAGTACTCATAAACAGGTTGATGGGGTTAAAAACGCAGTTAGTCACTTCCAAAGTGGAGAAATGGTTTCAAAAATTTACACTCAAATTTGCTGCGCTGCTTTTTTTTTTTTTTAAAAGGTTTACTAGTGAAAATTCGTTAATTTTTTATGACAGAATGTCCGATATAGGAGTCAGCAATCTGACATGGCATCGACATGGAAGTCTTCCATGTTGGACATTCCGGTAGAAAACTATTGGATTCTCTGAATGAAAAACTGAAATGAAAACCGCACTTCAATGACCACTTTGAAAGAAACTTTAGTTTGGTGACCAACAAAACTAACAGTGTTTTCTACCCTATGCACTGATGAAAACCTGAAAAATCTAAAACAGGGTTACCTGCATCCATGTATCATCCGTAAATCGCTCGGGGGATGTCTCTGGGGACTGAAGAGGAGGTGGTAATGGATGAATTAGTTTAGGAACAACAACCAACCCTCTACCAACAACCAATATTGCCCCAGCATTGTTCGCCGTTCCTGAATGCATTTGTTCAATTAGACTGTGTTTTAAGCTACAGAAGATAAAAGTTAAAAAAACATGTAAAGACTATAACTGCATACCACAATAGTTGGTTGCAGAAAATAAAGTGATTAACTGGCCCTGAGCGAATCGTTCGAATCCGTCCATAACACATTCATGTGCTCTTATGATTAGTTGCAATTTGTTCTTCTTACAGAATTCTGTGACTCGATCAGGCTGCGATTGATAATAGAGTAAGCAAAACTATTTTTTAGTATGGACAATGGCAGAAAATGGATCTCATCAAGACTCTGTGAATGGATAAATCAAGAAAACATGTTTGGCTAAGCTGAAAAATAAGTCCAAGTTACTTTTTGGAAGTAGTAACTCTTACATTTATATCTAAAAAAGTAGCATACTTATCTCCAGCTTTATTCAATAAAAAAAAAAAAATTATTCTAAAATTATTTAGTTTCAAGTAAACATTCACGCTTAGACAAACCTTCCCATAGTAAACTCTTGAAACGACAAGCAAATACTTTTGCATAACAACAGCTAAGATGCAGTCATAAGAGATAGACAAGCGAACATCGTCACAGTTGATTACAGAGGAACATTTATGTTGATCGGGAAACTCTAGTTCAGACATCATGTTGGCTTTATCGAAAGGGGGAAAAAAGAAGTGACATTTTAAAAATCATGCACATTCATATCATACAAACAGAGAAAATTAGGACAAACGAGAGGTATTTATTGCGATGTCCACATTTCTACAGTGACTTATAACAAGATAAAATCGTATATTGAAACGACTTAAAATGCATACCCCGAATGTGACAAGACCAGGTCCTCTGGCATTTGGTCTCAAACCCTCTACACTGTCATTTTCGGTGGGATCAGACCTATACAAGAAAACATACAGTGCTAAAAACTGTCTTATATGAGTCAAATCATAGAATATGAAGTTACACATACCACAACAAATCCATGAGTACTATCGACCCGGCATCCATTGTTATAGGCCTCTCGAGTTTCTCTATCTGTTCTACTGTGTTTATTGACCTACCTATGCCACCATGCATGCAGATTATTTTCTTCTCAATCAGTGCAGCAAGTGGAAGACAGTTAAACATTTGATTGAAACGTGTCCAAGCCCATATCCCATCGCTCTCTCCCTATGTGCACATCAATCATATCACTAATCAGCCTCCCAAAGTCAACACAGGAAATATATTTGCATGCTTGTGCATACCATTCTCTCAATGCATTCAATGCGAAAGCCAAAAAGTGCATTAATGTCAGCAGCTTCATGATTCCCACGTATCAAGTGAAAATTCTCTGGGTATTCAATCTGAGATCCACAAAGACCAATTAGTATATAAAAAGTTCAATAAGAGCATGTCTGGCTAATCTTAAAAAAAGGGCAAGTTACTTTAAAGTAAAAAAGGTTAGTTTACTTTTTTAGTGCGTATGTTTGGGTAAAGTGTTCTTATAAGTAAATTTTTGTTTGAGAAAGAATTACTTTGAAGTAATGTAAATGTAGTAAATGACCAAAAAAACCAACATAATATTTCAATAACGTGTTGCATTTCAAGGTCAAGAGATTAAGGGCCATTTGCTTGGTCAAGCCTTTTCTTAAAAAGCCACCGTCTTTTTTATCACAAGGTAGTCCCAGTTTTTATTTCTATGCCGTTTTTAAGCTATGGCATGCTTGGCAAAATAAAATGCCTAAGAACAAGCAATAAATCAGTCAATGTACTTGCTTTTAGAGCCAGTAGCAAAGTGATGGTCTCCAAGCTGTGCTGTCCTCGATCGACATAGTCTCCCAGAAACAAATAGTCAATATAACTGAAATGGCATAAATAAATACCCGTTAAATGACTCCACAAGAAATTTGACACTTGTCATTCAGATCTTAAGGAGGAGAAAACATGTAGTTCTAAATGCTTTCGCTAAAAGGTACGAGTCATTGACATAACCATGATTACATTCAGTAAGAGCTATATGCATTTGCTAGAGAAAATCCATTCTTGAAAGATAAAAATCAGAAAGATACATGATATTTTGTTGCTGCAGACAACCGTCTACTCTATAACCTCCAAGCATCGCAATCTACTTCGAAAAATTATTTCCATACTGAACCTCATATTCAGTGTCATGCTTTTTAAAATTTGTACATCATAGGATGATTTTGAGAGCAGTAGGAGAAATATTACTAAGGTCAATTAATTCCTTTTTCTTTTATGGACCTTGAGGGATGCTAGCTGTAGCTGAGTCTTCAAAAGTTGGGATATACTATTTGGTGGACATTGCAAAATAACAGCATTGAACTGAGTCTTATATCAACTACATGGGGCAACTACACGAATCCTTTTCTCCAATCCGTTCAATTCATTGACACATCTATTGGAAAGTACAAAGCCACTAGATTCTCAACAACCACAATAAACAATGTTAATTTGATCTCCACTCTCGCTTCTATCATATTCTACAAAGGTCACATCACTCTAACGAACAGCCTCTTGAAGTCTATGTAGGAAATATCTCAACCAGCTAAGTTGTCCCTCAATTTATCTTCAACTGGTACCACCTCCGAGTGTTTTCATATATTCTCTTTTCTTATCTTAAATATTTTAATATGACCACGCATCTATGTTAGAATCCTCATTTCAACTAAATTCATTTTAAGGACAATTTGTCATTCTCAATACTCACTACAATGACGCATCGCATGTTTACTAATTGTTCCGTAGAAATGACCTTTTAACCTTACAGGGATAATTCTTATCATAGAATTTCTGTGGCACTTCTCCATTTTATCTAACATTTTTTAATCATTTGCATTACATCCTCTTCGATTCTTGAATCCTCTGTAGTACTCTGTTATCTTTATTATTCACACTATTACTAATATGGCAATGCATGGACTCTCTTTTGGTTCTACTTGACTCAAAACCTTTGAATTTCAAAGTTATCGTCCAAATCTCTAACTTCCTACAACGATAGGGAATTTCTATCTACTACTGCCAATACATCTCACGATCAAGACTTTACTATCATACAATTAAATAATATATTGAAATTTCCTCTAGCAACCACCATAGCATGTTCCTAGGCACTAAGGATGATCAAAGATCATCATGGACCTACGCATGGACCTATGTTCGCTAACCTACTTCTCATATAGGGTTCCAAAGTCAATAAGAGAGGGAGATAGATTGGGAAAATATGAACTTGTCAATGTCTTTATGGCTTTCAGATCAAAGATCATCATGGACCTACGCATGGCCAGCACGGACCTGGCCGCTAACCTACTTCTCATATAGGGTTCCAAAGTCAATAAGAGAGGGAGATAGATTGGGAAAATATGAACTTGTCAATGTCTTTATGGCTTTCATAATCCTTTCTGGCAATATTGCCTATTTGCTCTTATAAGTGAACTTAGGAATTTATTTTAGACTACGAACCTTTGTCATACTTTTCTATTTACATTTTTCTAGATCAAGAATATTAATACTCATATGCACATTGTGTTTTTTTCCCATATACTTGTTCATCGATCTCTTAGAAGGTAAATGGCATTATATAATGGATCTCCCTGGTAAAAGCCGATATGATTTTAAGATACCCATAAATTACACCTTGATATAAGCTCAATCACTCTCTCCAATAATTTCATAGTATCGTGAGCTTAATATTCTAAAATCTGTACAATATTGAATATCTATTTCTTTTTATCAATAAGCACGATATCATTCTTCCTCCATTCATCCGACATTTTTTACTCTTTATAATCACATTGAACAATTTTGACAATCATAAAATACCTACTCGCCTAAAAACTTGTATTTTTGATTAAAATTTCATCTGGGTCACTTGTTTTTCTCATCTTCATCCACTTAACAACCTCCCTCAATTCCAGAAACTGAATCCTTCTACTAAAATTAAAATTCCTATCTAAAGTGGAGTTCAACAAATTCCCAATATTTATGTCTTCCATTAAACAACTTGTCAAAACTTATTCTTTTATCTTGTATTTTGTATCGCAAGAAATGGAACTCTTTAGTTTTCATCGTTAATACACAACTCAGTTTTGATCTCTACTTCCCTTTTCCCTTATGTTGAGCTATCTTGTAGATAGCTTTCTGTCCATGTTTGTTTTCAAGATAACTATATAACTTCTCATATTCTTTCGGTAAAAGCCTCTTGACCTTTTAAGCTTCCTTATTTGCAAACTTGTATTTTCCAAAGCTTATGCATTCTTATTACTAGGTACTTTCTATTGCTTGGTAAGTTTGTATAGCATAGGGGTGTAAGTGGTCTGATTTGCCAGTTTTTACCAGATCAAAAGCCGTTTTAAACGGTTCGAGAAAAACCCAAGCACAAACCAAACCGTTTAAAATAATTTGAGATTTTCTCAAGCCTAAACCTAATGGTCTGGTTTGATTTTAAACCACGATTCGACTATATATTTTTTCCTTGTTCACTTTTTTCATCACTAGTTCAATGATCATAAAATATGTTCTTACTTTATTGGCGATAAAAAAATTATATATATATATACAAATTTAAATACTAATAAAATCAAAGAAAGTCTTAAAAATGGAATTATGAAATTAGGTTAATTAATTAATTTTTGGTATTTGATAATGGAAAATTGTCTAAATTACCCCTTTTTGTATTAAATTTTATTAGTTATATTTTATTTTAGAGGTTAAGATTGTAATTTTATTGGCAAAAACTTTAAAACCTTTTATTTTAATTTTTTATTTTTAAAAGGTCCTATTTGGTTTCAAACCACCATTAAAATACTGAAACCTAAACCAAACTGTTTTAGAATGGTATGACTTATTACAAAACCATTTCGTTATCAAGTCCATGTAGCACCAAAAAAATAATTTCAACAAAGCGATTTTGGTTCAACCTTTGTTTTAGCAAGCATTCTCTTTTATTCTTAATTGCCATTTGGACCTTCTTGTTTCAACACTTCGTTGACCATTGATAAATGATGTTTAGAATGACAGTTTAGATACGAGTGGGAAGCCATTGAGCAAATATGGCACCATTTATATTGGCTTTATTTTGGGGGTCAAGAAATTTGGAAGCCACCCTTACTACAAGCAATCAATTATGAGGAATACAACTTCTCTGATAAATAGTTCATAAGAGAAGTGGATAATAGACAATAAATCAACTATTTATTGCACCAAGATGAGATGCCTTTTGCTTTTTGCCCAATATTCTTTTTTCACAAGACTATCAAACTTCCTTAATCCTAAAAATCTATCATGATATTCAAAACTTTTCAATTCAGGGTCACAGCTTTCAACTATTATTTATCAAGCTGGCTTGGCAGTGTGGAGATGCCATTTTGGATAAAGTGAAAATAGCTTAACATTTCCAATGCCCTTCTGATAAATTATGATTAGATACTACTATATTTCAAACTTGAAAAATATACTGCAAAGATGCACTCGTTTATAAGGCTGATAGTTATGTCATCGCAATCCTGGCCGGATGCTTTCTTAGTAAAAGAAAGAAAAGAAGTTCATCCAGGTAACAAATCAAAGATAGTAACTGTTAAAATTCAACTATGAACTTACGTTATGTCTCCTGCAGTGGATCCTTTAGGTATAAGTAGTTTGTCGGGCATCAGATCACCAAACTGTCCATGAAGATCACCGAACACTTTGATAGGAGCTTTCAGCTGAAGAACCGTGGGCTCATGCATGAATATCTGCTCAGCGGCGTAACAAAGCTCACTCACTTCATATGAGTCCAAGAAGAACTTTCTGTTAGCAGGAGGCTTCCAATGTCGAGGCTTAAGCAAAGTAGATATGATCTGCAACAGATAAATGCAATCAACTGAACAAGAATAACAATGTCTCAACATTTCTTTTCTTTTTTTATTCTATTTATTTTAAAAAACACCACAGAAAGATAAAAATCTTGCCTTTTTATGCAAGCCTTGAGGAGACTTCTGCCTCATGAACTTTCTGATTGGATGTGACAGATCATTATGCAATGGAATCATTCGTCTACTTTCATTTTCAAATTGGTCCAAGGATAACTGCCTAATCATACCCCCCAAGTTCCCCACAGCTTCTCTTGCAACTACAACCTGCAGCCTTGAAAATAGTGCTACAATGGCTCCGATATAAAAATAGATCCGTAATACAAAACACAAGATAGTGCAGAAACATACCGCTCTAGTATGAAGGCGAACATCAGCCTCGATGTCACTTCCCTCCAACATGGTCTCTGCATCTTGCAAATTGTTATCTGATACAGAAGCTTCTTCAGGGTGAACTGATGCCTGTGCTGCCCTCCAGACAACATTAGCAGCCTCGGCTTCTGCAGCAGATGCCTGAGCCAATTTCTCCATAGAATTTGTGTTTGCACTGTATGAATGAAAACACCTTTATTAATAATTATATTAACTTCATTCAAAATCATATCAAGAACTTAAAAGCAGGTAATGGGGAGATTTCAGGTCTTCCATCTGGAGTTGGTGCGGGAGTATAGTTAAATTAGCATGGTTTGACCTTGGACTTCTTGTTGTTGAGGCTGTTTCAGATGTTAATACTGGGGAATTGATGTCAGATTGAAATGGAGAATTTTCTGCAATCATAAAATCATCTAACAAAGTATCTGCAACAGTTAAAAAAATAATGAATTAAGAAATTAAAAAGGATATATCAAAACGATACAAATTATGATATTCATAAACTTCTAGACCCACATTTGTTGCTGATGTTCAATGGAGGGGTAATAAATCGAAGTGTAATCACGAAAACATTGCCGCATACAACCATTTCATCCAAACCACCGCGTAAAGATCATTATGCGTTTACTTTCAGCAGTATATATAATGCACACTTCACCTCTCCACTAGGTATTAATTACCACAGTAGATTAACAGGCATCTTAGCAAAAGAAATGGATAAGGAATTGTTCGTGGTGGTTTAAACTCCTGTACTCTGTTCTTTATTAGGAGCAACTCTCCATGCCCTATAAATCCAACCTTTCTGAGAAAGAAAAGGATTTAATGATGAAAATGTTATCAATGAACATCTTATGGCTGGTTGACAGCTCATCATGCATCCACACATCAAGCACAAGATGGCTTATTCCTATTTTAGCTCAAACTTAGGGCTTGTTTGAGCCCCATTTTTTTTTTCAAAAAATGCATTCAGTAATAGTGTTATGATGGAGAACGTGTGGTTAAAAAATAAGAAAAAGTTTTGTATTTGAGTGTAATTTTATTTTATTGAAAAATGTGTGGTTGAAATAGGGTCAAATCACTGTTCCTGAATACATTTTAATGGAAAAAATGGAGCTCAAACAAGAGCTTAATGGAAAGAACAGATCATCTTTGACCATAGGACATATTGGCCCAGGACAAGAAAAAGTTTGAGAACATAGTGAAGTGGCGTTAACCCATCACATGAACAAAGTCCATGAAATATCATTCAAATTTGAACTACAAAATAAGTGTTTTTGGTAAGATTTAGAAAGAAATATGAAAGCAAATATTTTGCAGTAAAAATCACTGCTCTCCATCCTCCAAAAGTGAACTGGGAGGTGGTTTCTTCGAAAAACTGAAATTGATCGAGAAAATTACAAATCTGTCTTTTTGTGCATTTAATTAAGAAAAATTACATACATAAATATGAAAAACTAAAATTCACTCCCCAAAATTGTAAAGCTAGTTGCTATTGTCAAGCAGTTGTTGCTTGTATTGCTGTCATCATCCAGATTCAGATGGCAGGTCTTGATTAAGTTGGGGGGAGGGGTAAAAGAAGATTGAATGCACCCGCTATTACAACCTTACCTCCTCTAAGACCACCATAAACATATATTCGAACACCAACAGATGCAGCTGCATGGCGATGACGATGCATGACCTCCAAAGAGGCATCCTCAGCATGCAACTTGTTGCTCCGTGAAGTCACCAGCCCATTTCTATCCAGCCAAACTCCAGCAGCAGTGTCCAGTACTTCAAACAGAAACACCAATGCAAATATTAATATAAACATTTTCATATTAAGAGTAATCACTCTAATTAACAAACCAGAAAACAAGCCTCAAAATTTACCTGCAATTGCTGCTTCACCTTCTACTGCTCGTCCACCCCTAAGAACACCCCCAGTAACATGCAATCTTGCACCAACAAAAACCTGATGAAACTCAACATTACAATTATTGAAGATTTTGCGGGCATAAAGACAAGGAACTGTGCAGTCAATGAAACTGCCCAGGACCTAATCCAATCAGCACTTACAATCTTACAACTCCTAACCTCCGGGTATAAATTTCCTCTCCATTCAAAACTTTAAGCTCCATTTCCAGAGAAAAGATAGAAAAACCAAGACAGTTCTTTACAGATGAATAAAAGGAATTTAAATTTTAAAATATTGCCTGCAGCAGACTTGATAATTACAAAATGAATTTCAAGGGTGTATATATCCAGAAATCACTTACCGCAGCATGTTGATACCTCGGGGAAGGTGCAACCCCCGGTGCCAGAGTCCACTCCCACTGCCCATTCCTATGCATAAGCAGTCCATAAGCATCTGCTAGTGGCTGGAAAGGCATGAATTCAATATTTAATCTCAATCAAACACGCTCCACTGTAGGCCCCAACATAAAAACTTCAATTTAGTCTCGAGGAAGAGAAGAATACGTGCATTATCAGTTTTACCTATGAAAAAGCAAATATTAAGTGGTACTTGCATGGAGACCCTGTGAACTATTGGAACTTGGCACCTAGCCTTACAAGTATTGAAACTTAGCAGAGGACCGTGCCATTAGAAAACCACAAAACTTTCCATCATAAACATCCAAAAGGGCTGATTTACCCTCAATGTTTCATATTAGTTCACCAGAACATCCATAATTATCATATCCCAAATGCATTTTTTATTGTCCCTTTCTCCACCATTCCTATACTATCACTCTGGTTGCACTCGGATTCTCCTTGGACAGATTGAGGCATGTTTCCCTGGCTTGGCTTGCGAAAGTACCGCATGTGAAAATGATGGTCGCTGCAATGGCAGCGATAATGAGGGGACAGTGGACGATTGATTTTGTTATATGAGTGGTTATCATCTTTATTTTCCCTTTTTCTTTTTTTCATTTCGACAATGAAGTCCCATAATAATACCTTTAATTAAATGAAGAAAAAGGATGGAAATCTAGCTCATCTGCATTTGATACAAAGAAAAGATGAGCACTATCAACACAGCCATAACCTGTACTATGTAAGTACTGAAAGTAAAAGCTAACTTTCATATGAATGGACTGATTTATTTTATTTTATTTATATTCTTTTTTTTTGCACATGTGGACATATTTCAATTCCTATGCCCAATAGAAGTACACTTAGACAGCACATAGTTCATCATAAGCAAGCAAATGTTCAATCTAGAAAATTAAAGACGGCAGAATGCCAGTCCTCTTCCTTTTTGGAGTAAGATTTAATTGGAAAACATGAATTGTCAAGAACAGTTCAAATGTCCAACAGAAAGTTATCCATACCGTGCCTGAAGTGTCTCTTCCACCACAAAGCAAAAACATACCATCTGATCGTGCACTAGCCGTTGCATACCTACCAAAAACAACATAAAAATTGTAATACGTAAATCGTATACACAACAATGCATTTATGTATATTTTTGAACAAGAGAAAACAGCATGGCCGTTGACATTCCCAAGCATAGAACTTCAGTATGGATAATTGGTCAAGAATGATAATAAAGCAATCTGACAGCAACGTACACTTTCTCAGCATAATAGATATGTAGGACTGTTCAACTATCATCAGAAACTGGGTTCTTTAACAGTGAAAAGAAAAGCAATCACTTGAGAAATGATACTATGGAAAAGTATCAGAGGATGAAGGTGGTAATGCATTACAAATAATGCATAGCTGTAACAACGCACATATGATGTCCCGACTTGCAAGAAGAAAAGGTAAATATTTCCACTTGCCTCCAAGAGCAGACATGAGCAGTGAGAAGAAGAGGTAGACAGGAGCCAAAGAGCATCATATGGTCAATCTCATATATAAGCAGTGTTTTTCAGTAAATGAATCCAATGGCCTGCCTATGGAATTTCTTCATATACACAAGATTGGAAACAGTAAAAGAATGCAACAGTGCAAGAGCAAAGTCAAGTAATAGTGGAAAATCATGCATATATGAAAATTGAAGAACGCGTGCTTGCAACCAGAATATTATGGCAGGACAAAATTTCAGAATCCACCAAGACCAATTAAAATTAAGATAGTCATGTACTCACATTCTACCAGAAGGTCTATCACCTCCTGGATTAAGCTTCTGCCACATGTATGGTTTTTGGGCTGTGTCCAAAATCCAAGCATCAGACAGCACTAATTTTCCTGCATATGAACAAAAGTTTTCATTAAGGTTAAAAGCCACCACTTCTACAGAATGAAGTTAGCAATTACTGGTCCCAATATCACAACTCTGACCTACTTTTTGAGCACATGCACGTGCAAACTCACACATGAAAGAACTATTGACCTAATAGTAAACCGCATCTATTGAAGCATGTCTTGTCACTATGTTCATGAGAGAAACCATTTATCACATGATCACGTGAGGCATTCCAAGACAGAATAAATGATCGTTACATGAATTTGAACTTTCAACACAAGAGACATTCTATGACTCTTATCTTTCCAAGAGTAACATCATAAACAAAAATATATATATCAAAGCTAGATGCATTAATATTTGATCTGTGTAATGAACCAAAAAGAGTTCAATAAGATTCTTGGAGAGTTGCAGGAATTTGCAACAAGTTAAAAGAGTAGACATAGGGTGTTATTGGGGGAGCATTTACAACGCCTCCACAACCCTGACAAGAATCACTCTGACATCACCTACCCACCACCCAGTTAGGACCTTCCTCAACTCCAGTTATTTAGAAATAATATGACTTGTTTGGAAATGTATATTGTTGCATGCATATGTGGGAACTTCTGATCAAATTTGGTTCCTCACAACACAGGTTTTCAATTTTTTGGAAGTAAATTATTGGTGGGGGACCAAATCTCAGGATTTCCTGGGAGGTGATGTTGTCTTGGTATTTAGGCATGGTGGGTTAGGTTGACGGATCGAAATGTTGGCCCGAGGGGACAACAAGTTGTCAGTCGATGGGTTGATAGGTTAAAACAGTTTTTTTACTTGGGAAGATATTGTTGACTGGGATATTATTACTTCTATTGATTGGGCATTGGGGATGAAGTGGTTAGTTGACACTTTGTAAGATATGGTCTATTCCAATACTAGTGCTTATAGCATTTTCCATATCTAAATGCTGATCATAAAGTTATTGAAGCTCAAACAAGCCCTAAAAAGCTGATCAGGAATATTAATGAAGGTGAAGTCTATTCAATTAACAGAATCACAAGAGCCCCAATTAATTGATCGAGGGCAAAGATTCCAGCTCAGCTTAACTACCAATCAGTGTTTGTAATTATGTTAAAAATTGAGATTTCATGACGTAAAAAACTTATTTTGCGAGTTGAGATTTCATCAATGGTGAAATTACTTTACAAACAGAAGTTCTACGATCCAGTCAAAACTAGTTACATGTATCACTTCAATCTAATTACAAGTATCGGCGATCTTTCTCAAACTATATAATGAAGAAGTACATTGAATCACTTCAATCTAATTACAAGTGTGGATGATCTTTCTCTTAAAACAAACTATATAATGAAGAAGTACATTGAATCACTTCAATCTAATTACAAGTGTGGATGATCTTTCTCTTAAAACAAAAAATAATGAAGAACATCGAAGTGGTGATAAAAACAGACAGCTGTGCTCACCATCATTGCCGCTAACGGTAACAAGGTATCTTTGTGCCACCAAGTCCATGACATGGCCATATCTTGGCCCTGGACCCTGTCCTTGAACAACAACCCTAAACTTCGAAATAGTGATACCAAGTCAAAAGACCAACAAAATATAAAGGATAGTAAATGCATGTGTGTGTCATAGAAACATACCGGTGCCACTTGTATTTATCATTGGCCAAGTCAAGCACATACAAATCATCCGTAGAATGCCCGGCAGGACCTATTCCACCCTAGCAACAAAAACAACCATGCATTTTTAAATTTTAGTATACAGTTTCTTTAGAAAAAAATAGATCTTTTCTCAAATTTTGCAATTTTTTGCTCCCCAAACACCTGAAACACGACCATGGTGCCAACAGCTGCTGCAGCATGCGCAGCCCTAGGAGACGGCGGCTCACCAGCCGGTCGGAGTCTGGGTCAACAAAAAAAAAAAGATCCAATCAACCATAACAATCCAAAATGAACTGTTACAAAATTTAGAGTATATTAGAAAACAGAATGTGCAAGTTTCAGTAGCTATAACAAGACGTGCCTGGTCCATTTTCTAGTGAGAACATCATAGGAATGAACAGAATTCGTTACTCCAGCTAACCCTGGAAAACCAAATTTACAAAAAGTTAAATATGGCACCTCCCAGTTTGATTAAAATATCAAATAGAAACACAATGAGAGAGAATTACGGATGCCAGGGGCTCCGCCATTGCCACCCTCGATAGCGGTGGCGCCTCCAAATAGGATGATGCGGGGGCCGTGATTTTTGGTGTCAGCGACGGCGGTGAGAGTGTGGCCGCAGCGAGGTCCGGGAGCATCCTCATCGCTGTCCCAATACGTCTCTAAAACGCGATAGGTCGGAGCCGGATGCTGACATTGCTTCGATCCCATCCAATGTCGTCGGAAATAATAATTACGACAACGATATATGCACAATCAAATGCCAGAAAAATGAATTAGCGAAAAATTAAACTTTAATACAGATATTTCACATGAAATGGATTCGAATAACCCATCAGTGGGGCCCTGAACCGCTGTGGGGCCAACGGAATCGGAACTTTTCTGGAAAGTTTAAATTCCAATTTTTTTCAAAAATTAGACTTCATTTTTACCCAAATTTATTTCCAATTTTTTTCAAAATACATTTTTCTTTGTCATTTTTGTAATCACAATTTCTTCAATAAAATCTTCTATATATTAAAAGTAGCTATGTAACGGAATTTCTTATTTTTAACGGAAAAACTAACGAAATTTCTTGTTTGATTCCATTGACGTCTTCCTTTATCCAATTGACTCCGAGCACTCTCAAATTTTCATCGTGAGGTTCGACACNACATCACAACATCAAAATCACACATCTAATTATTTATCAATTACATAAACATTACATCATTAATTATTTAATTAACCAAAAAAATTACATTTTTATTAATAACAAATTAATTCTTAAACAAAACTATTAAATATAAATTACGCAAACGTGCATTGCACGTTGCTTGCACCCAATAATATTATACGTAAATCCAAAATTTTTCTTTTTCTAACTACGTATTATCCATCAAATCACTATTCTAAAATACATTTTTGACTAAAATTAGGGCTCAAACAAGCCCAAAATATTTTATACGTAAGTTTATATATTTATATGCACACAACCCGTTAGCCATTCTCATTATTTTAAATTTTATTTTTTCAAACTCATTTTTCATCACGTATTCTTACAAAAAAAATATTTTACACGTAACTTCAAATTTTTTTCCTTATATTTTAATTTAGTTACACAGCCTTCAAATATTCATTATTATAAAATTCATTTTGACGAACTAATAGTCACAAAAGAGGGGCAGAGAGAGAGAGAGAGTGACAAATTGGATCCCACATGCCCGCAGGCTAAGTCCAAGTTTGATGCTCATTATTTTGTCCAAATAATATTTTGAATAGTGATTTTTTTAAAAAATATATGTTCAAAAAATAAAAAAATATTTTAATTTTACGTGTAAAATATTATATTGTGTAAATGTGTGATTGAAAATGAATATATAGAAAAAATAATTTTCAAATAATGATTGTTAAATATGGGCTAAGAAGAGTCATCTGTTATTCGCTTTTCAAATAATCAATTTCTTAAACAATAATTTAAATCTCTTAACTGGCTTTTTCTTTGTTTAAGAGTTATTTTAGTGATGTAATTTCATAATCCCATAGTCAATCATAGTGAGTATTATTGATTAAAAAATTAAGAGATTAGATATATATATATCACTTAGTGATGACTATCGTTAGCTCTCATTCTAAACAGCATTATTCGACTTAAAATAGCATGTGGCGCTAGCTAGTAGCACTAACGAGGCCAACACCTGATCAGTCGACGATGTCGCCCGTGCTAACTTCGTCAGAATTTACAAGTTGCAAAGCACTCATTTACTTCTTTTTCTTAAAACTCTTTCTTGTAGCGGGATTGATCAGTGAATTTTCATCAAGAAATCAAATTTATAATACAAAGCTAGCGAATGAAAATGGAAAACTTGAGAACGAGAAAGATCAGACCTGTTGTATTCTCTTGAAAGGAGAGAATAGGCAAAGGGTTGTGCAATAGTTGGAGGAGAGAAGGTCGCACAACATCGTAGGTTTCTTCTTATTTTGTGGACTTAGAGGGCCATGACCATATGTTTGGTACTAGACTAATATTTGGGAAGGGTTCAAAAGTCAAGGATTAACTATACACAATTCAAAAATCAGGTTTTAATTAATTAATTAAATATAATAAAATCACAATTATATAAATAATGGTTACATATGTATAATTATAGGTCACAGGTCACATATTTTAAAATTAATTGACCACAGATTATTTCGAGGTCACATATCAAAAATTTTGTACGTTACTGATTATTTCGAGGTCACAGATTTTTAAATTANATCAAAAATTTTGTACGTCACAGATTTTTAAATTTATTGGTCGCATATTATTAAATTTTTATGTCACAATTTAGTAATTGATCACAAATTACCAAACAGTTAGTCACAGACTACCGTCACTACCACTATGGCCACTTTCGACCACCCTCACCATGCCGCCACCGCCATAACAACACAAACAAAGCCACAACAACCAACTCCACCACTAATCACTTGCATATTACCTATTTTATAGATCACAAATGCCAAACATCTCCAACAGAAACGCGCCCACAATCCACACCTCCGCCTCCGCCACCACTTCCACCTCTGCCACCGCCACGACCACCTCTACTCCGCCACTGCTGAAAACCACATCAGCATGAAAACCACCATGTTGCTCTAAATATGTTCGAGCAACAGCAAAGCGCACACAACACGATAAATCGCTGTGCCGGTACGAAACCAGAGTGGGAACAAGGCCCTGCCTTAGATTGGCTATCAAATATCGATGTGCCATTTCCACTCACACAGTTCTTTCAAGAAATTAAAGAAATCTGCGCGGTTGGGTTATCTCGCGACAGTGAGGGAGATCTGCGCGAGGTTGGACAGTAGCGACAACGCCACTGGTCGACTCTCCGGTAGTGGGAGCTCCTCAATGGCGACGGTGGCGGCACGGAAGAGGGTAGAGAAAGAGACGAGAATCGAAGAGGAGGGGGAATAGAAGAAAAATGATTTAGGTTTTGTTTGGGATCAGGGCTACGATTTTAATATGCTACCTAATTTTTGAATAAATAAACTTTGCACTTGATTTTTAAAAAGCAATATTTAAATACTTGATTTTTTGTAATTTTCCATAATATTTTTCAAATGGGCTTTCTTAGAAGCCCATTCCTTTCCCCTCCTTCTTAACCCAACTATTTTTAAATTGTTTAATATTTACAATATTAAATAGTATTGAAAAATATTATAAATTTCATTTTAATTTTTTTTAATTATTTAATAATATTCAATCTACCTTAAAAATATTCCAAAGTGATCATAACTTATAAGTGTTGATTGAAGAATTTTTAGTATTATTTAATTAAATATAAATAAACGACCTCACTACCTCACCGATCTTGAATATGAAAGAAACATTTGTTCACATTCTAAAATTAATTACCAAAATTCATCTTCGAGACTAAGTTGGTCACAATATAGCCCATGTTTGGCGCTCATTCTCATCTCATTCTTATTTTTTTTTTCTTTTTTCATTTCAACCACACATTCTCTCAATAAAATAATATTACACACAAATCTAAATATTTTCATAACTTTTTCACCACACATTCTCCCATCAATCACTATTCCAAAAATTCCATTCTCCAAAAAATGGGTGTCAAACACCCTCATAGAGAATTTTTAAAAATTGTATTTCACAATAAAATATTTATAGTTGTGCCAGAGTTCTTTATTACCAAGACCCATGTTGGAGTAGATATGAGAACAATATGAGTTATGCCTTCCTTTTGACAAAAATCGTCAATTTTTACAGTACCATCTCCTAGAACTATCTTATCTCGATCCATACTAAGCCCCTTATTTGATAATCATTATTTTTGGGAAAAATAGTGTTTTAAATAGTGATTTTTAGGAGAATGTATAATTAAAAAGTAGTTAATGATTTTGGATTAAGTGCAAAATATTTTATTGTGTGAATGTGTGATTAAAAATGAGTATGTAAAAAAAATAGTTTCAAAATAATAGTTGTCAAATATGGGCTAAGTTATTTAGTTATATGATCAACTCCATTGTATTATTTTTAGATATAAAAGAAACAAATATTTTATACCGTGTATTGTACTTCCATATTCGTTAACCACCAACCTGATGCTCCATAGTTTCAATATATGAATATCGTGGAACAATCAGCATAAATGATCGTGACCAATAATATGTACCTGTTTGTTTAACGGAGTACGGCCCCACGAGAGTCGAAAGCTTTGTTCTCCGAACTGGGTTCCATTAACATGCGGAGAGCTTCCTCAGGAAAAATGATGCGCACATCATTTTTTTCATTATGGAATTTTTTATTATTTACGTCTTATATTATTGGGTTGGTCCAAACCCGTCATTAGTAAGTTAGGTTGGGACTGATGAATGAAAATCGAATCTTGGCTTGTTACCAATGTTTTGCTCCCCCACTTTTTTCATTTCCCTAGTTTCTTCTCATGTTTTCTCCCTCCTTCTCTCTAGTTCTTTCCCTTTATTGCTGCGTTCTCCTTTATCATGCATCAAATTTAGTATCAGAGCTAAACCTGGCTTCAACAATCAAACTGAAGGACTCCCAGACTTCACCAGTATGCAACCGATTTTTCTGCTACCTATACAACCCAGCCGGCACCACCATATATAACCACCGTCCAATCTGCAAACCACCAACAAACCACTTGCACAGCCTCTACAGTTAATGCAGCTTCCACAATTCACAACCAAACCTGATTTCATGCAAAACTCATACATAACATAGGGCTTGAAATATCCCTAACCCGACCCAACATCATCACAGTCGCCGACTACCACCACGACGTTCCCGCATCTGCGTTCGCCAATTCCCCCAACAACTTACAAAATTAATCACCAAAACCGAAACCTCAGCCACAAATCAAGCATAAAAGCCGAATCCTCAAGTCACACGAACCTAAAATTGCCTGATTGTCACCTTACCAGTCGGCCGCCCCCAAAACTGCTAACCACCGCCCAAAGCTGCAAACTCGTAACTGCATGCTCGACACCACCTAAAATTCCCTCAAAATCCGGAACTTCCACCACCAACCATCAACATAAACATTACTGTTGCTGCAACTCCAACCAAACCAACCCATAATTCTCACCATCAACTATAAAAAAATAACCACCACCTCCCGGACAACCGGTTTCAAAAAATAAAAATAAAATAAAATGTACAGCCACCACCTCACGCACAAAATCGACGCCGCACAACCAGTCCC